TTTGCAATCTTCCAAATATCTGGAAAACAGTTATTCTTCAATGAGAGGTTGAAAATGAAGTGAAGTGGTTTGACTAAAACATCAGCACATCCCTTTAATAAATAAGGTGGAATGTTATCTGCACCTAATGACCTTTTTGATTTTAATTTTTTCAAAGCATTTAAAACTTCTACTTCACCAATCTCAGAAATAATCAATGAATTGACATTCTCCAAAACTGGCGAACAAAGCGCCTGGTTTACAAGGTCGTCAAGGTCAAGGTCGTTGGGTTGGTAAACAGATTGAAAGTAATTAGCCAGTGCCTCAGCTATCTTATCATTTCCCTCAATTTCCTTATCTTCATATTGCATAGTTCGTGGACCTTTATCACTTGCTCCTCTCAACTTCTTTATAACACCCCAAAATGATTGTGGGTTATTAGCCAAGTTCATTTCGATATTTGTAATATATGCATCATAATCTGTCTTTATTCTCAATTTTATTTCAGAACGTAATTGTTTGTACTGATCTCGAAGATGATTCATTTGAAATTTTTTTAAACGTTTGCGAACTTTTTCTTTATTTTTTATCATCAATTTTAATTCGGGCGAGAACCAAGAGGGATGATTGGGTCGGTATTTAGGGCGTCTTGCTGGAACGTGTGTGTGAAGAATTGTATGTATTTTGCTGTAAAAAATTTCCAAAGTGTTATTTAAATCATCACACTGAAACATTTCAGACCAGTCGCAGTCCCGGATGTCACAGTAAACTCTAAGAAAATCTGCTTTTGAAAAATCGTATGTGTGTGTGTGTGGTGTGTCGGCACTGAAGTCTGTATCCCCCCCTCTCACCCCCCGCACCATCTGGAATTCACATAACAGCGCGGGGTGATAACCATCAATATTTACAATAGGATTAGATTCTTCAACAACAGTCAAATTATTTATATCACTTAAAACTAGATCTAAAGTCCTACCAGTTACATTTAATATATTATTTTTTGACATTAAATTATGTAAACTACAATAATACATTAATTGTTTGCAAGTCTCATTTCCCTTAGATAAATCATATCCAGACCCTACAATATGCTGATTAAAATCCCCTATTACTATTATATGTTCTTGTCTACGTACAAATAAATCCAACTTATCAAAAAATGATTTGTAAGAACTAACATGCGAGTTTGGTGGAAAATAAACTACAGCTAATATCACAGAAAAAGTTTTAGTAAATTTTAAACTAGCCCAAATATTATCTCCATCCGTTTCTAATTCAACTAATCTCTGGATATTAATAGATTCATCTACTGCTAACAGAACCCCACCACCCCTACTCTTCCCTGTAAGCATTACATCTCTATCACGTCTCAATACAGTATAATTGTCTGGAAAAAGTTCAGAACTGCTTATTGAATGTGTAAGCCATGTTTCAGTGAGTGCTACTATTGGATAACAGTTCTCTAATAAATTTAAACGGAAAGTATTTAATTTGGACCTTAAACCTCTAACATTCTGATAATAAATTACAACCTTATTGTTTTCCATTTTTTTTATAATACACATGCAGACTAAACAAAAGAAAACATGCAAAATGAATAAATATATATCATGCTTAAATTTATATTAGATTTAAATACATAAATAGGAACATACTTGAGGTTTATTTTAACAGGTCAAGGTCGGCCTTTTCAGTGATGTGGACCGGTCTCGCACCATCCTTCTGTCGTAGGAACACCTTCCCAACACTGGTTATCCAAGCGTATTTGTAGCCCTTGTCTTCCTTAAACTTGCGCGTCGCCTTCCAGAGGTCCATGGTCTCCTTAGTGAGTGACAGGTTGACGTACACCTTGCTCTCGCTGTTGTAGCCTAGCTCTGCTGCTGAGAAACCGTTCTTCACTCTGGTCTTGCTCCTCATCATCTCCATGTCGATGCGCCGGCAGAATTTGATTATAATCCCCCTCGGCACCCCAGAAATTAGCACAACTTGAGTAAAGATTATCCAATTTTGATTAAATTTCATACTAACGTGAATGCGAACCGGTTCGCAAAACAGCATGATTGGACAATGGGAACGAGGTTGTATGGGTTAAAATGAAGTTTACCGTGTTTCACACTCAAAACGAAACATTTCTCAATTTATTTCCAACCATTTTGTAGAAATTAAGAAAAAATAGGGCCATCTTTCCATTGGTATGCTGTGATCAATTGCTAATTCTTTAGTTTGGTATTTTTTGTTGACTGTATTAGTTATGCACGTTTCTTTGAATTGTTTTTTTTTATAACACAAGGAGACAAAATTGTGAAGAAAATATTGTATGGATAGCAACTGTATCTCATAATTTTATTGACCGTGGTGAAAACAAAGATCTGTTTGAAATCATATTTTTTTATGTTTTATATTTGAATGAAAATATGAGTAAATGGAAATACTTTTTATTTAGGCGAACATTAGGAACAGGTTTGCATTTTTTTCAAAAAATATGGATATTAAATTTTTACTTGATGGACAAAGTAACTTTACTTTCCACGTGGTTTTAATTCCACCTAATGGTCCCGATCTTGTACAAGCTATTTGATCCTTGGAAGGAAGCTTAACTTAGACACTTATCAAAAACGTCAGACAACGTGTTTTTACCATATTTTGAACAACTTTTAAATACTAAGAGAGTGGACTCGCAGTGATCCAGGAGACATCCTGCCTTGGAAATGGGATTCCCTGTTTGCCCTCTGGATGATCTCATCTACAGTGCCGTCTTTCCTAATTAATAAAATATGATTTTGTTTTTGAATGGGTACAGAGCATTAGCTATCCTAAACTTGATAACAACACGCACGCTGAATTATATTTTTCTGAATTTTGCTCCAAACTAACTCATAAGAAATATTTGTCCCTCAAAATATATAGGTAAAAATTCCTTTCCCATATGGTTCTCTCCAGAAGTCGAATTGATGATTATCAAGAAAAAGAAACTACATAGGCACTTCAAGCAGACTCTGGATGATCTAACTAATCTTCAGTTTTGCGGTGTCCGTACAATATGCAAGAGGATGACGGGGGATTGCTACTCAGCATACATCCAGACTATTGATTCTTCAATCAAAGCCAATATTCGTGCCTTCTGGAGTTATGTGAATCCTACCAAGAAACTGCCCTCTCTACCTTTTAGAATGGAGCTGCTGCTAGTCATCAAGCAATCTCCCCACCAAATTATGAACTTAATGCAATCACCTCAATCTCGTCATGTTATGTTAGCTGCTCGGAGGTGGAGGCTGAGCTGAGCTGAATTCACTTGACACCATCAAGGGTGTGGGACCCTACAATATATCACCACTGGTCTTGAAGTTCTGTAATGAATGAATAGATAAATAAATAAACAGCTATATTTCTACAAACTGACCATTACTAGCATGAAACGCTCAATGTAATGACACACTGCCTAGCCTGCAAATTGGTTGCTGCTTCTGAATAGTTTGGCTGCTGGTTCAAAGTGTTTACGATTGGCAAATTATTTTATTAATTTGTAGAACAGGAAGCACCAATGAATATACCAGTGGTTAAGTTCAGTGGTAATGTCAGCAGTGGCCACTTTGATCTATATTAGCCAATTAACAACCCGTTAATTATCATAGCCCCTACATATATTGTTGAAAGGTCGGCAGGTCAAAGAAAACTCATGAATAGTATTTGCAATAGTTATTTGTGTAACTAGTGGTGAAAGTGGCACTTTGCTGCACACGAGAGCAATGCGGAATGATCTCGAGTGCAGCAAAGGCCTTTTTCACTCGTGTTACACATTATATTTTTCCTACAGTCACTATAAAGCATATAAATAATTAGTCTTTCAAACACTATACAACACGTTTTTAGGTTCACCTGGCAACACAAATATGTGCCCTAGAGAAAGTAGTACCCGCGGTCTGTATCACTCCGCTATTTTTCCTCGACAAGAAATGTGCTCCGCGTTTTGAGACTATAGTTCCGTATGTTTTTGTAATTTGAAGTGGTTTCCACGCCTAAAAGAATGCTTTAAAGGTATTTTCTTGTTTATTAAGATCGAAGGAATGTTTTAAAAACGTTTAAATGAAAAGTCCAGAAAGTTCAGAAATACCTAAACTATAAACACGAAATGACAGGTTAAATCGTAGTTATAATAGTCAATCAGCTGCTCATAGTATTATTATCTTTAAGTGTTGCCAACCTATTTCCAAGCGTACACGGATTACGTGCATAAATAGAACCACGCTGTTTTGTGTTGTTTCGTTGGAATCCTGATGTGCGGCAAAGTATAAACCGTACGGCAAAGTATAAATATGCAGCAATTAGCAGCTTTCTGTACTATAAACAGTACAAGGAAGCCAACTTTGTCGGGTGACTGTAGGAAAAATGATATACAGCAATAATCAGTATTACAAGTACTCAACTGGATCCAACTCAGACAATGGCAAACATTTTTAGTGAGGAGGATGATTCTCAAATACGGAACAAAACAAACTTTGAGCTAATAAACACAGAGTACTAAACCCAAAAGTTAAAAGGGTGCCTACTTTGATGCACGATCAAACTGCAAAAGTACACAATAGTTGGTAGTTTACTTCCACCACCCGATGACGATTCCCCTTTCTTCTGTTATATTTCACAGTCGATGAAATTATTTTACTGTTCAAAAGTTCAGCCATGCGAAAGCAGCTAGTAAGATAGTATGCTAGTAAGATAGGAGTAGATAGTAGACACGTCACAGTTACGAAATAATTTAACCGTTCTCTCTCAAACGCAGATATTTACAACCGGAATATTTTTAGTATCACTCCATCTTGAGTCAACATCAGCTATTACTTGTGTTTATCCCTAAGCAATAACAGAACCTATTCAATGAAGTGAAAACATACAAATAGTAAAAATACGCATACCGATGCACCAATGGGGAGGGTGAGGGGCGAGGGGTGAGTTTGCGCATGTGTGGGGCTCCAGAGTGGAGGCAGCAGATCAGTACTGTACAAGAGGCTGTGAGTGTAGTGTTGCCAAGGGAACAGTCTGTTATCTCCAATGTGGATTAAACATTTATATTGTTGTGGTAAGTAAAGTGAAAGATATTAGGATGTCCTTTCGGTTGTAAAACCGAACCTACTGTGAATTGTGTAATGGGGCTTTATTGTATCCCATTAGTATCCAGTCTAGGATTTACGGGTTTATCGATTTGGTTTTACATGTGCTGGGTGTTTTGTGAAAGGTTTGTCGAGACATTCGCGTTAGATGTACAAATTAGCACGTAAAGCAAATTTCCAATAACTTTTTAAGAATTTACATAAATTGCCATTGTTATTTTAACATGAGTAGAGTACAAACTATCGGTAATTTTACTATAACCACAACTCCAAAACGTTTCTGTTGATATTGTTCCACGAGACAACAGAATGCAACTACTTATTGTAAACAAATTAATGCGTACATGTTAAATTGAAAATGTTTGTTAGAAAATTTAACTATTACCAAATTAATTAGGTATATAGATTATTAATGAAATAAAATAATACAAAATAATCGAACGTGAACAGTGATATTTGTTTTTTAAGTTCTACAAAATGGTTTGGAAAATTTTTTAAAATTTTTTAGTTTTTAGGGTCAAAAATGGGAAAAACCTATTTTTATCCCATAAAACCCCCCATAAACCCCCCGTTCCCATGCTGGTTCGCGAACTCGTTCAAATAAATGTAGGTTTACACGTTTATACCAAATTTCATCAAAATCGGATCATTTTTGCTCGAGTTATCGTGCTAATGGACACACACACATATATATATGTATATAAATACAGTATATAAATATATAAATACAATATATAAATAAATATATAAATACATATATAAATATATATATTCATACATATGAATTTGAACGGATGGTGTTTTTTTTGCCTCTAGGGACCTCAAAACGAAAAAATAAATCGGTCCCGGGTCCTGTGTATATTATTCTTGACAGCATAGTATTTTGTTCCAACGAACGTAAAAACTACATTTTTATGTTTAAAATAACCATCCGTGTACACTAATTTATTTGCAGGAAAGTACTTCATAATAATTTAAAATACATTCAAAGTTTAATTTTCGATGGGAAACCAGTTATCATCGTAATTAGTTACTATACAATAGCGAAAGGTTAATTTTATATTTTTGGTCAACTCGTCATGTAACAATGATATAATTACGAAATGTAATACGCCGTTTATGTTGTCGTATAGACCACTCCATAGTCGAATTAGTATAGATTCAAGACGTACATTAATTTCGAAAATCATATCATTGAGTATTTTGAAAAGTTGTAGCCAGAAAAATAAATCTTAAGTATACGAGGAATTATTGATCTACAATCTATGAAAGGTATTCGGTGATAACACTGTGTTAGATATATTTGAACAAAATCACTTATCAGCTGTTTTGTGAATTATAACGAAAGTGGAAATACGAACAAGTCAGCTGTGTCGTAAGGTCTGCGAAAGTGGTTTGGTTTTGATAGATCCTCGCGTGCGTATCCAAAAATGTGTAAATACCGGTAAAAATAAAAGCTCGAGGTGTATTTCTGTGTGTTTAATAAGTGACTCTAAATACTTGACAGACATAGCTCGATCGAATTTATATTAAATACAGTGTGTAAATTAAGTATTGAAACAAATCTGTATTTTTAAAACCGAAATAGATAGAGATATTCTATTTGTGGCTATAATTGTTAACAAACGTTCCGAAATTTTTGACATCAAAAATATTTTTTAACCCCCCTAACAGGGTAGTAGGTAGGGGGTGACTCATTTTTTTCAAATAGCAACCCGTATTGAGTGACCCCTCATTTTGAAGGATTTGTCAAAATAAACACAATGAAGCAAACCCGAGGTGGATATCTCACCCCTAGCCAAAATGGCAGGCATTCCAAAATTTGATTTACTGTATGTGAAAAAGCACCAATTTCACAAATAATGGAAAGAAATCTGTATTTTTAAAACCGAAATAGATAGAAATATTCTGTTTGTGGAATTGATTGTTAACATAGGTTCCACATTTTTTTCCATCAACAATATTTTTTCAACCCCTTTGACAGGGAAGGGTGTGGGGGTGACTTTTTTCAATAACAGCCCCTATTGAGCGACCACTCATTTTGAAGGGTTTCTTAAAAGAAAAACAATGACGCAAACCCGAGGTAGAAATATCACCCTAGCCAAAATGGCAGGCATTCCAAAATTTGATTTGTATGTGAAAAAGCACGAATTTCACAAATAATGGAAATGAATCTGTATTTTTAAAACCGAAATAGATAGAAATATTCTGTTTGTGGAATTGATTTTTAACATAGGTTCCACATTTTTTTCCATCAACAATATTTTTTCAACCCCTTTGACAGGGAAGGGTGTGGGGGTGACTTTTTTCAATATCAACCCCTATTGAGTGACCCCTCATTTTGAAGGGTTTCTTAAAAGAAAAACAATGACGCAAACCCGAGGTAGAAATTTCACCCTAGCCTAAATGGCGGGTATTCCAAAATTTAATTTTTGTAAAAAAGCACCCATTTTAGCTAGGGGTGAGATATTCAACTCGGATTTGCGTCATTGTGTTTCTTTTGTTAAACCCTTCAAAATGAGGGGTCACTCAATAGGGGTTGCTATTTGAAAAGATTAGTCACCCCCTACCCCCTACCCTGTTAGGGGGGTTAAAAAATATTTTTTTATGTAAAAAAATGCGGTACCTTTGTTAACAATTATTTCCACAAACAGCATATTTCTATATATTTCGGTTTTAAAAATACAGATTTGTTTCAATACTTAATTTACATACTGTATATGAATGCTGCTGAATATGAGCTGTAAAAAGCTTGAAACATGCATTAAATACCTACATTTTGCCATCTTTCTCGCAAATACGAAAGTAGATTTACATCCATCCTATATTATAATATGAGTAAAGTTATTTATTATTCTTGATATTTATAAAGCCAGGGTAAACTGCCAATGGCATAAAATACGTACTGTACATAATGCTGGAGTTACCGTGTTCATTCCCTATGATTCAGGAAATAATTTGTTTCAAATCACCTGCCAGAAGTACAGTTATATCCACGAGTTTATTGGAGTTATTACACCTCTTAACGAAACATTCCGTTGTTTAAAACATAGGTAAAACACTATAATACTCTTTCTAATCAAGGCCTTTCTTTGTGTTAAAAATACGTGTTAAATTGGTCTTAAGATCTGTTAAATATGTATTGCTGTGTTTATCAAAGTATCAACTACAATTTACAATTTTACAGATAAAAGATAGACTACAAAAGGTTTGGATAAATTACATCGACCAAAGAATGCTCTCAGATACACTAATAATTTTACCCGAGCAAAGCTCGGTCCCCTGGTGCTAATAATTGAAATGTCAATAGACTGTAATCTTAAAATCTTGTCGCGTTTTAGGTTTATAGCGTTTAGCGTTAACAGCTTTTCTGTTTTCAAAATAATTAAACATAATGTGGGGGATTGTGGTAGACTTTCCAAGTTCGAACCTATACTGTGAATCAATGAGAAAACTAGTCATCATTAATCATCTAGTGGTCATTCAATTTATTCAAACTAATTATATTCAATGACCCTAAAAATAACAGAAACATTCGATTGTATTATACCCATTATATTGATAGTGTAGGTTTTTTTAATAGTAAAAAAATCTAAAATCAGGTCAGTTTTCTACATATGGTGAGTAAAAAAATAAACATTAAATTATAAATTTTCTTACATAAAAACCTTCCCCTGGCACTAAGGAACACAACAAAAAAAGAATCATCCAATTCAGTGCACTCATTCTCAAATTATGGAATACAAAAAAAAAAAATGGATTCATTTTTATTTATATAGATATATGAGTTTGTATATTTGTAATTCGATATCGAAATCGGCATCAAGAAACGTCTTTATACTTACAGTATAGCTAAGTTCTGTCTCAAAAATAAGTTCTAACCAGTTTCATGAAAATATATTTTTGCTACAATATAAGTTCAAAGTTTCCAAAATTTAATATAGGCCTTATGTGATGCCATTTGGCAATTTTTTCCTTGACACAAAATAAAAAAGGAATCATAGCATTTTAAGTTCATTAACAAGCCATCTATACAACCTTTAATTCGTTTTGAACTCAGTGTAAGTATTACAAAAAGCACATATATGAGAGCGACTATTAAACATGGCTACAATTTGCACTCATGTAGACAGCTCGAGCAAATTTCCCAAAGGGGCTCTATTAGTTATCGCATAATCAGCAAATAGTGTAAGGTTTCTCTTAGGCTGAAATTATTTTGAACATATGTCACGACACACGAATAAAAACACGGAAAGTAAATAAAAGATACGTCTTATAACACTTAAAACATATATTTACGCTTATAGTGTTACTCACAAGACAGTAAATATAAAAAAAAGGTAATTGGTGATCGATTTCGATTGGACACTCCAATCATCATCAGACCCAATAGGCGAATGATGATTGACATAAAAGGAAAAGGGAAAGACCTGTCGAGAACGATTCGCCTGTGCAACTAAATAAACACACCATAAACAGCTTTAAACAGCTTCATAGTAATTTGCTGTTTGTTTTTTACATTAGGACACCTTATTTCGACAAATAATATAATAACTTTTTTATTATTTATTTAACTTTATATGTGCATTTTAAAAAAGAATCCGGGTTAAGATTCAATTCGTCCTATGAATTTTGCAAAAAAACCTCATGAGCTTGCTTCTGTTCTTGAAAAGAAGCACAGTCCTGTGAATCGCACATTTGCGTTACAATTTTTCCGTTACGTTTTTGAGTCAAGAGCCAATAAACATTTACGTTACATTTTTGAAAAAAAAAACAAAAAAAACAACAGTAACTTATTTTATGTTTTTATTCGTAGGAAAATTGTAGGCCTAATACCGTTGGATAAAATAATTTTAATTGTTTTATATGTTTTTAATAATGCTACTGGCATTAATAATAAAACTGGCATATTTTAATAAAATTATATTATCATATAACTTTTAAAAACCCCCGCCGCTGCAAACCTGCT